CCCTCGACTGCACTCGCCTCGATATCCCTTGTCAGAACGCGCCTCGGGAGAGGTCCAGAGAGTTGTGGTGCCGGTATCTCTGGGGGTCCCCCGAAAGTGCGAAGCTGCCTGCCGCAGGTCCCGCCACCGTGCCAGCGCAGCACTCGGCGCGGCAGCGCTGCGGGCCGTGACGCGCGGGAAGCTGGCGTCCCTTCCCCGGCGGCACGCGGCGGGAGGCCGGCGGGAGTAAGATGGGGGCAGCCCCGCCGGCGGAAGGCCAGGCCGGCCAGCGGGTCAGCGGAAGTAAGCACTGCTAAGCACTGCTCCCGCCCCCCCCGCCACAAGAGATGGCAGCTTTGGGGGCTCAGGGTTTCCAGAACGGGCCGTGTGTCACCTTTCGCGCTTGTTCCATGATGGTCTCCTGTGGCGGGGTGCCCAGGCCGTCTTGGAGCTGTCATGAATTCCCGCGGGGTGTTCATGGGGCCCTCTCGGGGCCCTCGTGATTCGTCTTGGGGCTCTTTTGGCCGTCTTGGCGCCGTCTTGTGCCATTTTGGGCACCTCTCGGCCCTCTTGAAGACTGTCTTTGGGGCCGTTTTGAGGCTCTCTTGGGCTGTCTTGGGGCCCTCTTGGGACTGTCCTGGGCCATTGAGAGGGGCTTCTTAGCGCCCTCGTTGGGCCCTGTTGGCCCCTCTGGCTGCAGCTGATCGGATGGATGTGGTTGAGTATATTCTATTACGTCGCAGTGTGCCAAGGTGGCACGGTGGCGGATATTGTCCTGTTTCGCCTCCCCGTCTTCACGGCGCAGTGCACAACCCATACCTTTCGTGAGCGCGGCGCCGTAACGTCCCGCAGTAATTGATGATGACGGTTATGAAGATGGTGTTGACTGTGTTCGGGGTGTTGCTGCCGGCGATGCTGATGTTGCCGACCAGTGACACATGCCACACTTTGTTGCCGCATATTGGGGCCTTGTCCGACCAGGACGGCTCTGTAGCAGGCGTGTTTCACACTCTGAAGCTTGTTATGGCTACCTCCATGTTCGCCCTACTTGCATGCCTTGTGCGTGCATTTGTTTCACCCATGTTCTTTCCGGACCTGTCTTTTCGAAGGCAGGCCGATCCATGATCTACGATCCGTGCCCCACGCACCAACAGCCGCAAAAACGTCAGTCTCTTCTTGAGGGAATCGATGCACTCATATAGCTGCACTCATGCCGTCAGATCAACTACACTTAGAAACAAATCCGCCTAAACTCGAGTCCCGATCGGAGAGGCTGGATCCCGAGCGCCCCGGGTGAACCCGAAACGGCCCCAGATGGCCTCACGGCGGCCCCGGAGGGCCCGCGAGTACCTCAAGAGACCCTGAAGAGGCTCCCAGGACGGCCAAGACGGGCCAAGGACAACCCAAGATCGCCCCAAGATGGCCGCAAGACTTCACAACAGGGTCTCAAGACGGCCCAGGGGGGGGGTACCCAAGAGGCAAACCGTTGTTGGTCCAGAGCTTTTGGTATGATTTTCGCACTCTCGCCTTTGGAGTCTTCCGAGCCTTCGAGATGGCCCAAGGAACCACCAGGATCGCCCAAGAATGGGCCACAAGGCGCCCAAGAGGATCCCGAGAGGTGTCCAAGACGGCTCAAGAGGCCCCCCCCCAAAGGGGCTCCACAGAACCCAAGAGGGTCCTAAGACAGCCCAACAGGGCCCGCAAGACGTTCCCAAGAGGATTATGGCGATGACCCGATGGTATGTGCATCTTCGCAAAACATATGTATGTGTACGCAGGTGTATACGCGCGTGCACTCATATTGGACACATATGTATATATGACTGCGTGAAGGTATGTGCATGTATGTCTGCAGGAACATGTTTATGTCCGCATGCATGCAAGTGTACATGCATGTATGTATGTTCGTGGGTATGTATATACCTGTGCGTGGGTGTATGTGTGTATATTTGCATATACACATGCATGCATATATTTGAAAGTCTATTTCGGTGTGTATATATGTGTATGCGCACATGCACATGTGTTTGCACTCATGCGTGTATGTACGCATATTATATGCATGTCTGTCTGTATGTATGCATGCATGCATGTAGCTATGTATGGTTGTCTGTCCGTATGTATGTCGGTAGATAGCTATGCATGTATGTATGTATGAATGTATGCAGGTAGGTGGGTAGGCAGATATCTTGCATGCATGCGTGTATGCATGGATGGATGTATGGATGTATGTATGCATGCGTGCATATTCCTGCCTGTCTGTCTGTCTGTCTGTCTGCCTGTCTGTCTGCCTTTCTGCCTGTATGTCTGTCTGTATGTATGCATGCATGCAGGTATGCATGCAGGTATGCATGTATGTATGTACGCACGCATGCACGTGTGTATGTATGTATTTATGGATGTAGGCATATGCATATGTATATGTATATGTATATGTATATGTATATGTTTATGTATATGTATATGTATATGTTTATGTATATGTATATGTATATGTATATGTATATGTATATGTATATGTATATGTATATGTATGTATGTATGTATGGATGTATGTATGTATGAATGTATGCATGCATGCATGCATGTATGCATGTCTGTCTGTCTATCTGCCTGTATGCATGTATGTATGTACATGCGTATGTACGTATGTATGTATGTATGTATGTATGTATGTATGCATGCATGCTTGCATGCATGTATGCATGCATGCAGATATGCATGCGTTAATGCCAGCTTGTGATTAACAAAGGGCCCCCCTACCCCCCGGGGCTAATGAATAGACCCTGCGGGGCGCGATTTTTTTCACTCACGCGCGCCAGGGGGTCGTCGCTGGCGCCGCCGAGGGGATCGTGTACCCCCCTGCATGACAGCCGCAAAACGGTTGCCTGCTGTCGTATAGAAGTTGTGATGAGGGTCGTACACATCCGAGGCGAATTTTCGTTCCCCCTCTCAAGCGTCATCGTCGTCGTCGTCGTCTTCTTCTTCTTCTTCGTCGTCCTTGTCGTCGTCGTCTTCCTCTTCGTCGTCGTCGTCGTCGTCGTCGACTACACCGGGCCTGTGCAGCACCCCCCCACCCCCCATAGGCATCCGCAGTGCGTCGTCGTCGTCGTCGCCGCGCCGTTGCCGTCTGCCGTCCGCCGTCCGTCGTCCTCGTCCTCGTCCCGCCGTCGTCGTCGTCGTCGTCGTCGTCGTCGTCGTCGTCGTCGTCGTCGTCGTCGTCGTCGTCGTCGTCGTCGTAGTCGTCGTCGTCGTCGTCGTCGTCGTCGACGAAGACAGCGGCCGCTGGAAACGGGCGCAGGCAGGGGGGGGGACGGCGGCGACGACGGCGCCAGAGGGGGGGAGGAGGACTACCCGCCTTGCTCGGGTTGGACGAAAGGCTGGGGAAGGAAACGGGGTGTTGCAAAGCTTGTTGCGCGCAGCTGGTTTCGGTCGCCCCGCCGAAGGGCCAGTCCTCGACGCATGGCCGCTTTCGGCGCCAGGAGGCGCACGTGAGCTGCTTGGCAAATCCCCCCTTTGCTGCCCGCCTGCCTGCAGGCCCGCATCGGTTCGACACAAAGAGGGGCGCCCTGGCTCGCTCCTGCCTCCAAACACCCCCCCTTGCCCCTCGTTGGCGGCTGGGCGTCGGCGCGAATCACTGGCGCCGCCCCGTTGATCTTCAATCTGGTGGGCGCCACCCCGCGATTCGCCCGAGCAGGGAAACTATTCTTATTTTTAACGCGCGCCCCCCACGGATTTGTTCATCACAAGCTGACATTCGATGTTGTCCGAATGGTTGTCCCGACGGTTGTCCCGATGGTTGTCCCGATGGTTGCCCCGATGGTTGTCCCGATGGTTGTGCCCCGATGGTTGTCCCGATGGTTGTCCCGGTGGCTGTCCGGATGGTTGCCCCGATGATAGAGAGATAAATGGATGGATCGATAGATGGATGTTGTTAGATGTTGTCCCGATGCTTGTTCCAATGGTTGTCCTGATGGTTGTCCCGATGGTTGCCCCGATGGTTGTCCCGATGATTGTTTCGATGGTTGTCGCGATGGTTCTCCCGATGGTTGTCCCGATGGTTATCCCGATGGTCGCCCCGATGGTTGGTGAAAAGTTAGATAGACATATAGATGCTGTTGGATGCTGTCCCGATGGTTGTCCCGATGGCTGTCCCGATGGTTGTCACGATGGTTGTCCAGATGGCTGTCCCGATGGTTATCTCGATTGCTGTCCCGATAATTTTCCCCATTGTTGTCCCGATGGTTATCCCGATTGTTGTCCAATTTGTCCCGATGATTGTCCCGATGGTTGATCGATAAACATATGTATATATACATATCGATAAATGTTGCTAGACGTTGTCCCGATGGCTGTCCCGATGGTTGTCCCGATGGTTGTCCCGATGGTTGCCCCGATGGTCGTCCCGATGGTTGTCCTGATGGTTCTCCGACTGGTTGTCCCGATGGTTGTCCCGATTGTTGTCCCGATGGTTGTCCGGATGGTTGTCCCGATTGTTGCCCCGATGGTTGAGATATATATATATATATATATATATATATATATATATATATATGTGATCGGAGGTTGGGGGGTGAGATCGCAGTGTAACGGAGTCCCCCCACCGGGAAATCGAGTTTCGAGTTCGTGCTCGTGCCGTGCGTGCGGGCGAGGCGAAGCTGCGTGGGCCAGCGAGGGGAAGTCAATCTGCTGTCGCTAGGGGTCCGCCAACACAAATGTTTCCCCTCCCGGCCTTGTCAAGCGGTAGCCCACTTTGTCCCGTCGGTTGCCCGCCGGTTGCCCACGTTGTCCCGTCGGTTGTCCCGCTCGTCATGAGCCACCCCACTCCCCCCACCCCCCCACAACCTCCTTATCACCCGCAGGGTGATCGTATAGGTAGATGTTTATAGATGTTGCCACGATGGTTGTCCCGCTGGTTGTCCCGACGGTTGTCCCGATGGTTGCCCCGATGGTCGCCCCGATGGTTGTCCCGCTGGTTGCCCCGATGGTTGCCCAGATGGTTGTCCCGATGGTTGTCCCGATGATAGATAGATAGATGGACATATAGATGTTGTGATATGTTGTCCCGATGGCTGTCGCGATGATTGCCCCGATGGTTGTCCCGATGGTTGCCCCGATGATTGACCCGATGGTTGTCCCGATGGTTGTCCCGATGGTCGTCCCGATGGTTGTCCCGATGGTTGATAGATACATAGATAGATAGATAGATAGATAGATAGATAGATAGAGACATGTTGTTAGATGTTGCCCCGATGGTTGCCCCCCGATGGTTGCCCCGCTGGTTGCCCCGATGGTTGTCCCGATGGTTCTCCCGATGGTTGTCCAGATGGTTGTCCAGATGGTTGTCCCGATGGTTGTCCCGCTGGTTGTCCCGATTGTTGTCCCAACGGTTGCCCCGATGGTTGTCCCGATGGTCGTCCCGATGGTTGGCCCCATGGTTGTCCCGATGGTTTTCCAGTTTGTTGTCCCGCTGGTTGCCCCGATCGATGATATATAGAGACATGTCGAGATAGAGAGATGTATGTATACATACACATAGAGAGACACGCATATACTTATAGGGGGAACTATGTATATAATGATACACGCACACACACATATATGTAATACATATATATATATATTTGAACATCGTTCGAAACATACATATACATAGATATATGTGTTCCATCCATATATATATGTATGTATTTTACATTATTGAGATATATGTACATGTATATATCGACGTATTGATTGATTGGTGGATTGATTGATTGATCGGCTGGTATACTGATTTCTCAATCGATAGATAGAGATGTATGGTTGTCCTAGATAGAGAACTAGATGCATAGGACGATATATAGCGGGGGAGTTAAACAGTTGAGGAAGCCACCAAAGAACCCAGAGCCATCGCAAATCGACCGCCTCCCCCTCCCCCCGAACCTCCTAATCACCCGTAGGGTGGTCCAACCGGTTCATTTTGCATCTCCCCTTCTTGCCTTTTGGTATCTTTGCTTTTTGTTTTTACCTCGGTTCCTCTCCTACTCTCACTCTCTTTCTTTCTCTCTGGCAGTCTGTTTGTCTGCCTGCCTGCCTGCCTGCCTGCCTGCCTGCCTGTCCGTCTGTCTGTCTGTCTGTCTGTCTGTCTGTCTGCCTGTCTCTTTGTTTGTCTGTCTG